GGGAAAGTGAGCCCTTGGATAGATGAAGCCTTTAGCAGCTAAATACAAAGATAAACACAAAGATATTTAGTGCAGAGTAAGCCAGAAAAGGGGAATTGTAGCCAGAGCCAGACACCAGCCCTTTCCCAGACCAACCCAGGCTCCTACCACACCTAAAGGACTACTTTTAAAAAACTCTTCTTCCTGTGAGTTGAGTGAAAGATGGGAAGATAAGGCAAAGATAAAGTGTCTGATTAGTGAAGGCAAACAAATGCACATGAACCGTACATGTAGAGAAAACAGGTGATTTCTTAACTCTTAAGAGACTAAATAAGAGGCCTTGTCTAGCAGTAGGTGGAGGCAATGGTCATAGCACTACGGGCACGCCGGAAGCCTCCAGGCAGGCCTGAAGTACAACATCAACTGAGTTGTTAAATCTATTTCCATCACAAATTACACTTCCCCCCTTAGGGGCCAGCCACCCAGGAGTCATCAGCTTAACAAGCCCTTCTGGACCTGGTGAAGAAGACTCTAATGATCTTGAAACCTTCTTAGAAAGCTTGTAGTGAACCTGCCTCATTTTTTCTAACAAGTCCCTGGGAGACAACTTCACAGACACTTAAGGAGAAGGAAAGTTTCCTCTTTGTTAAAGGCAATGAGCACTGCTAAAGCAGGTACGTTTGTCACACAAAACCCTGAATACAACCACACTCTGAAATCAGGGGTTGAAGAGTTTATGGGTTGGTGTACACCTTTCCAGTCCTCCACTCAGTTGGTACAGAAGTTACCACTGGAGTTCGAAGGATAACAGATCTGTGTGTGACACCACCAGCAGTGGAGAGAGCAGCTGCCCCTGGCCAACAACGTCTGGTTGGCAGAAGCCACTCAATATCTTGCAACAAGTGCTTGGCACATTGTGAGGGGTCCATCAACAGCCACAGCCATGGCAGATGATGAACCAGATTCAGGGTTCATCCAGGGGTTCCAGTCAGAAGCAACAGGAGATGTGGCTGGAGGGAAAGTACAATGTACATACATTTGCTCATCCAGGAATAACAGCACAGGTCCAAGGTTGATCCAGGAGCCAGATGCAGCCAGGCACACCTACAGTATGGTGTAGGAAAGGCCTGAAGGCCCCCTAAAATGAGGGGTCCTAGTCCATGGGAGAGGGCAAGAGTGCATGTGGCAAGGGGGGAAGCACCAGGTGAGTCTGGTGAGGACCACTACGACGTGTTGTTGCCATCAGGGTCCTGACCCACATGAAATGCCTCAGCTCATGGATGCCAGCGGTGCTGGTCGTTCTCAGTTGCTTTCTGCTGCTTGAGGGGCTGAAGACTGTGAGGTGGTCTCCTCCAAAGCTGGCTCTGTCAGTAAAAGCACGGCTTGATCTGCAGCTATCCAAGGCTCATCCCAACACTTGACCTCTGTCTCCTTCCCTTGCACAAGTTAAAATATAGTCCTGTCGCCTGCTGTGTTGGAGACTCGCATCTCCCCGAGACATGCTGCTGCCTGAAAACAATTCACTTCGATAGAGTATTGAAGAACATCGATGTGTTAGAAATGCTAAATGTTGTGAAAAGTGCTACCAGTCCTAGTGAATTCACTGTTCACACAGGCCAGCATCTTGGCAAACCTGGGGGAGTTCCTAACCTCTCACTTCAAATTGGGGAGGAGGACATGAGCATCTTATTTCTCTTAGAGAACCTCTGGGAATCGAGTGCTTGCCTGAATCACCAGTGGGGTGGCGCATGGTGTGAGCTCCTTGGTGCAACCTGGAGCTAGCCCACCTGAACACCAGGAAAATCGAGAAACACTGAGCACAATGCAGGTTGATGAAATTCAGCATATCTCAATATATGATATCTCTCTAAAGCAATGCACGGGGGGAAATAAAAACCATTAACTTTAGCTCAGAGCCCCAGGTTTTGTACTTGATCACTGTTTCATATTCTGCACTGAACTAAGCAAATGGAAAAAGTATCTCTGGCTCTTCGTATCATCTAGAGATAAAAGCTTACTTTAAGGGAAGACTCAGAAAATGAATTTGAACAGCTCATTTAATGTGTTCTTTATATATACAGAAATATGTATTCAGTAGAAGGATGTGAAGTTATACATTTACAATCCTGGAGGCTAGTGGTGGTCAACTCATAAATTAGTGCAACATTTTATGATTCAGCCTAAAAATTTTCAGATATATAACATAAGTTTGTTCAGAACTAATAGAACTTTATATTTTATCATGGCTTTTAAAGCATTGTTCATTTAGTACTGCACATCGAATTTCATGCTCCGTCAGCATATCTACCAAGCATTTGGGAAATACGGTTTGCGATCAGGCTGCTTAACAAAAATGGAAAATAGAAAAAAAAGTTCTGGCTAACCAAAAAAGAGTGATGATTCTAAGTGGCTGCAAATATTTTGACAGGAATTCCAACTGCTACACCCTCAGCAAGGTTACAGTTGATACAGAGCTGGGAGGAGTGGCTGGTAGACCAAATGGTTGTGCTGTCATTCAGAGAGTCCAGGAAAGGCTGGACAGATGGGTCAAGAGGAACCTTGTGGAATTCAGCAAAGGGAAATTCCAAGTCCTGCACCTGGGGAGGAATAACCCCAGGCACCAGTACAGGCTGGGGGCTGACCAGCTGGAGAGCAGCTTGGCAGAGAAGGAGCTGGGGTCCAGTGGGACACCGGGATAACCTGGAGCCAGCCCTTGCGCAAAGGTCAAAACCCTCCTGGTCTACGTAAGGGAAGGCACTGCCAGCAGGTCACATCGGGGAGACCACACCTGGGCTGTTGCTGCTGAGTGCGAGAAAGACAAGGACATGCTGGAACAGCAGCAGTGAAGGGGATTAAGGGACTAGAACTTCTCATACCAGCAGAGAGCTCCGATATCTGAGCCCAGAGAAGTGAAGGCTCAGGGGCGATCTTAGCACTGTGTCAGTACCTGTTGGGGGGCGGATAAAGAAAACAGAAGCAGACTCTTCTCAGTGGTGCCCAGTGAGAAGATATATTGAAATACAGGGAATTCCATGTAAACATAAGAAACAGCTTTATTCCCGTAAGGGTGATCAAGCACTGGAAGACCAGAAGGTTTTTGGGCTCTCCATCCTTGAAGATACTCAAAACCCGGGTTGCCCAGAGAGGTAGTGGAGGCCCCATCCCTGGAAACATTCAAGACCAGGTTGGACAGGGCTCTGAGCAACCTGATCTAGTTAGTGGTGTCCCTGCTCACTGCAGGGGGTTTGGACTAGGTGACCTCTAGGGGTCCCTTCCAACCCAAAACTTTCTATGATTCTATGATTCTATGATTGGCTGCCTCTCTGCTTGAGATGCCTTTGAGGTGCCACATGTTTTTGGAAGCAAGAGAGACTTGCGTGAAACATTCTCCTTAGAGAGAGAGAGAAAAAGGAAATAATAGAACACGAGACTGTCTTTCAGAAGCACGTTTTCCTCCTGATAAAACTGCTTAGGGCATGCTTCACCTCCTTGTTTCTCAGGCTGTAAATCACGGGGTTCAGCATGGGGACTATAATGGTGTAAAAGATGGATGAGATTTTCTTGCTCTCCAGTGAGTTTGATGAACTGGGTTGCATGTAATTAAAAGCACCAGACACATAGAAAATGATGATGGCTGCCAAGTGGGAGGCGCAGGTGGAGCAGGCTTTGCGCCTGCCTGCGGCAGAGCCCATCCTGCTCACGGCCACCACGATGCAGGCATAGGAGGTGAAGATGAGCAGGTTGCTGGCAAATATGTTGACACCCACAAGCAGAAACACTAAAGCCTCGTTGAAGCGCGTGTCAGTGGAGGCAGCAACAAACAGCGGTGGCGCATCGCAGTAGAAGTTGTTGATGACCGAGGGACTGCAGAAGGACAGCCGGAGCAGGGCACTGGTGTGAACGATGGCATTCAGAAACCCTGCAATGTAGGACACAGCAACCAGGCTCATGCAGACGTTAGGAGACATGACAACTTCATAGAGAAGGGGCTTGGAGATGGCCACATACCGGTCATAGGCCATGGCAGCCAGCAGGTAAATCTCAGCTGTGGCAAATACAGTGTAGAAATAAAACTGTGTGAGGCAGCCAGCAAAAGAAATGGCTTTGGTTTTGGTTGGAAGGTCCAGCAGCATTTTGGGGCTGATGGTGGAGGAGTAGCAAATGTCTAAGAAGGACAAGCTACCAAGCAAAAAGTACATGGGGGTGTGCAGCTGGGGGCTGACCCTGATCAGGATGGTCAGGCTGAGGTTTCCCGCTAGCGTCAGCACGTAGGTGCCCAGGAAGAGTGCAAAGAGGATGTGCTTCAGTTGTGGGTGCTCTGTGAGCCCCGAGAAGGTGAACTGGGTCACCTGGGTGCAGTTGTCATCAGGCATTTTTACAGTACTGTGGAGAGACATGGAGGGAAGAGGGTGAAAAAATTCCTGATGCAATTTCCACTTCGTAAATATCAATGTAAAAGGCTGACCCTGTCATCAAATTTAAATGGAAAATGAAAAAATGTAAGAACTGCTGATTCTTTTCTTGCAATGGCAGTGCCATCGCTGGGAAAAAAATCTGCAGTGTTTAGAAGGGTTTTTGAGTTAAGTCCTTAACAGAAGGCAGTTTGTCACAACCTTTGACAACTCACCGTCTGAGGGTGCCTTGACTAGGGGTACCCTCAGAGGGTAGGTGACCTGTTCAGAGGCTGATGCTTGCACCGTAGATGTTGAGCGGGAGAGATCAGTCCCAGCTGACTCCCTGCAGACCATCAAGCATGCAGCATAACTCCTGGAGATTGATGCTTTCACTTCTAAGGTTTTGACCAAAGATTGCCAACGTGGACAAAGCTTAAGGCATATTTTCCCCTAACCACTTCCTTTCCGGTTCAGGATTTTGGTCTCTTGTGCATAGCTGATGTGAAACTGCTCAAGCAGACATCTAAAATACATATCATTCCTTTAAATATCCAGAGCCAATTGTAGTTAAACAACACAGATCATGTAATGTACGTTATATAGTGACAGAACATATCTAATCAGCAACTTCTGGGTTCAGTCAAGTGAGAACAATCTCAGCATTTTTAGAGAATGACATATCACTTCTCTGTAAAGTTTTCATTGTTCAACCTTCCTCAAACAGCCTCAAAGATGCCTACAATTTTACACCTTCCAAACCCCCTTTCAGTATACTAAGACATACCTTAAGATCTCATTTTCCTAGGCTTTAGACAGGATTTTCCAAGGAGTGCCAACATGGTCCTCCAAGTCGGTGCAGGATATAATCCTTGTCTTTCACTCCCACTAATGTCTTCGCTGAGAAGCTCTCAATATCGTTCTCAGAAAATCTGCTTGCTAAGATCGGAGTCAGACGCTTCCATGGGGCAATTCTGTCCATCTGGAAAAGCTCGCAGATATTTGAGGTGAATTAGCATTTGTAGTTGCTTCCTTCCTGCGTTTAACGAGAGGGGAGACAGTGTAGAGCTACACTTACAAGGCTTGGGAGTCTAAATTTATGTTATGATGCCTAAGAGGAGAAAGGTCTGCACAGACAGCAAAGGAACAAATGATCTAAGGTATAACCAAGTGCATATAACCACTGAAACAACAATACTGATGAACAGCGCCTAGTGTGATTCAGACAAACTTTCAGAACTGAACAACAGTGGTGAGCAATTTTGCCACCCTTCTTTTGAAGATGGGCTATGGATGAGACAAAATCACAAACTTGGGAAAAGCTACCTTTAGCCATGTGATTTACACACAGTGCCAAACTAAGAGTCCTTATTCGTTGTGTTTATTAGCTACTGTGATACTCAAATTCCTCATGAATTCATGTGTAAAAGTGTTATTCAATGTGAACTCAACGTGCACTGTCATTTTCCTCCTGTTCTTTTGCATCTTTGCTGCATTCTTTACCACTCGGTTCTTAATAATATTCGTAATTTTCCTACCTTATATGAGAGCTTCTGCAGTTTTAACTAGTTCTCCTCCATCCCAGTGAAACTACAGGCAAGTAGGATCATCACACAGGTGCTGATGGAAGACTTTGTCCACGCACAAATTTATTCAGTTGTTAACAGAGACTCAGGAGGACAGTCAACACTTTACCATACAACAGGACTTTGGATCAGAAATTCACCCACCCTCTCTCATTCCAAAGCTCCCCTGCGGTATTTGCAGCGCCACGCTCAGCGATTATTCTGCTGAAGTCAAAATACGGGCTCCGTCGGTCCTTAGGAGACCACAAGGATGTGCCGTTGATCCCACGCTCATGGGATAAACCAACACAGCCTCTCTAGGGCACCTGGAAAACAGAGTCAGATTTCCCCCAGGGCGTCCTGCAGGGATTTCTCTCTGAAGTTTTCGCTTTGGGAATTTGTCAAAACATCAGAAATATTGTGTGAGGGGGAGAAGCAACTCTACTTAACACACTTAACTTTGCAAGACAAAAGTAGGCACAAGATGACACATTTTTGTAGAAGGATTTGAATCGGAAGAACTTTTTCTTCCTGTGTTTCTGGAGAATAAACTACAGTGACTGTTATTAATGGGTCAGTTTAGGGAAATCAGTATTCCCAGCAGGCGCATGCACACAGAGCACGTATGCACACTATCTGTATATATGTGTCCAGGTAGATGTGTGTGCACACGTGTACATACATGGCTGGCTACACGGATCACAGACAGATGCTCAGAGCTCCCACATGAACACAGGCAGCACCAACGGCCTCATCCCGCTCCCCTCTCTGGCTGGGCAGGATGGAAGTCCACTGGTGAGAACATATATATATATATATATA